TTTTTGCCAGGGCCCCACCTTCCCTCGCAGAAATCAGGAGTCGATTGGGGTATACGTAGTGCGGAAGACGACCGAGGCAAGGGTGGGGGGCAAGGCGAAATGTAAAAAATAAACACAAAGTCCACCCACCGCACCGACATTGACCAGTTCAATTTTCGGAGTCCCAATTGCCATGACATTGATCGGGTCTCATGCAAAGCAAGGAGCGGGGAAGGGGGCCTAGTGCCCGCGACCCACAAGGCAGACGCACACTCAATGCGATGAAATTCGCGTGCAGCTTGAAAAATTACACCCCTCGTTACACTTCAACAAACAAGAGCCATGGGATCGCCACCAAGCACAAAAAGCACAGAGAGACGAGAGTAAAGTTTGGTCCATGACCAGTTGACCGAAAAAAAAGGTTGCAAAATATATTTCAATCAAGCAGGCTGTGCCGCTCTATTCCAGTCCCCGATATCCTCTATTTTTGACGCACTTCCGCTCAAATGCAGCCGCGCTCGACCCCGAGCGAGGGAGTAAAAATACGAACACAAGCGTGTACCTTTCTTTGATCTATGCCACATGCGAAGGGGCAAAATCGTCGCCCGTTGTCCGATTTGAAAGTTCTCATGTCAAGCAGGCTCTCCCGCTCTCATGCATCTCCGTATCCCTTTTTCCTCGGAACACACGCCTCAACGAAACAAAAATCAGGGGGCGACCCAGAAGAAACAAAAACGTCACCCACTGCCGCCTACAACGCCACGTCCAGGCAATCAACTACAACCTTGTTGCCAAGCAAACTACGAAAGCAAAGTCACACAGCCCAGTCGATCGGTCACACAGCCCAGTCGATCGGCTTGTACTTTCTCTTCTTGTCGGCGGCCTCTGCGGCTGCACCGTGCGCGGAGGGGATTTTCTTGCAGGTGTGGCACAGGTGCAGCGCTCTCGCCTTCCCTTTGGAACCGGAGCAGACATTGCACCAGCAAACACCTGTGGTACGCTTAGACCTGTACCGCCCCCCAGTCTTGTTGCCGCAAGAACCACCCTTGCACACGCGCGCACATTTGGCGCCCTTGCTATCATACGGTGGAACGACAGGACCCGCACGCCTCCCCCCCGAGTTTAGTGTGCCTACATTGCACTTGGCCATGAGGTGGGTCGAAAGCCTCTGGTCCCACGTCACTCGCTCCATGGCAAGGCATTTCTTCAAGAGAACACCGAACTCCTCTAGCTCCTCCTTGGAGAGTGGGGCGTCGGTGCTCTCCCCCTCCCCTCCCTCCCCGGCTCCCTCTCCCGTCGCGTCTCCACCCTCCCCGGCTCCCTCTTCCTCCTCGTCCCCTCCCTCCCAGTCAGACTCCCCGGCTCCCTCCCCGGCTCTCTCTCCCGCCGCGTCCCCTCCTTGCCCGGCTCCCTCCCCTCCATCTCCAGTTCCCTCGCCTGCCCCATTTACCGCCGCTTCCAGAGCCGCCGTGCACTGGGTGGCGAAAATGCCTGCCCATGCGGCATATAGAAGGTAGGCGTTGCTGATAGCTTGGGCGAGATTTTGATCAAACACACGCCGCCAGAAGAACGTCTTGGGTTTATGGTGGTGCTGGTGCGCCATCAGCCGCTGGTCTGCAATATCCACCCCCCCCATCCTGA